GGTGGAGTCGGGTCGTCTGGTGCTGGAGCGGACGAGGGGACGCTGCCCAGTCCGGCTGACCCACTGCCTCGGCAGCCGCAGCAGCAGCAGCAGTCGCCGCAGCCGCAGCCTCCGCAGCAGCCACAGCAGCCGCCGCAGACGAGGCATGCGAGTGCCCTCCCGCCCGGGTGGCCTGGAGCTGGTAGTGGCCGTGCGCGTGGTGGTGCGCCGGGTGGTGGTTCCGGAGGCGTGCGCTGTCAGTACCAGATCCAGACCGGTCCGCGCCGCGGCTTCCTTTGCGGTAAGATCGGTCATTCCACTCCTCGCTGTTTTCGTCGCCTGGACGACCTGTTCCGTCAGCGCTTTGGCCCGTCGCTTGACCTCCCAGACTGGCACAGTTTGCTTAGGCGTAGTATTCAGATTTTTGACTTGGACATGGATGCCATTGTAGCCGCCCTACATGTGATGTATGCTAATGCCTCTAGTGTGCTTCCTTCTTATTACCCCGTGTTGCCTAGTGTAGGTGTGCCTAGCGTAGACTCCCCTGCTGCGTCAGGCGTAGGATCTCCTGCTTTGTGTAGCCTCGGTGCTTCCACCGCTTCTCCGCCGCCAGGCGCCACTGCTGCACTTTCCTTCACCTTGGACTCTGGCGCTTCCCGGTGTTTCTTCCGCGACTCCACTACGCTGACGCCGCTCCCTGTTCCTGCTGCCGTTTCTCTTGCCGACCCCTCCGGTGGTCCGGTCGTAGCCCGCAGTTCCACCTCCCTTCCCTGTCCGGCGGTTCCTTCAGGTTCGCTCACAGGCCTGCATATCCCCTCGTTCTCGAGGAACCTAGTTGGTGCCGGTTGCCTCCAGGACCTTTGCGTCACCACTACGTTCCCTGGGCACGAGCGGTATGCTGTCTGTACCGAGGCCGCCACTGGTGCCCCCCTTACCACGTTCCCCCGGGACCCGGTTTCAGGCCTGTTCACACTTGACACCGTGCCTTCCCCGGCTGGGACGTCCCCCCAGGTGGCTGCGTATACTCAGGTTGCTGCTGCTTGCTCCTGTCGGTCCCTCACTCACCCGACACTCCTTTGGCACCACCGCCTTGGTCACCCTGTGCTCCCGCGTCTGCGTCACATGTCCCAGCACGGTCTCGTCCTTGGTCTCCCCGGCTCGTTCCCCGAGTTTCCCTCCTCCCCCGCCCCACCTTGCACGCCTTGCGTCGAGGGCCGGCTTCGCCGTGCCCCTCACTCCTCCTCGTTTCCCCCTACCGCCGCACCGCTGCAGACTCTACACATGGAGGTCTGGGGCCCCGCCCCCGTCCATGGGCCGCGTCGCGAGCGCTTCTTCCTCATGCTTGTCAACGACTTCACGCGCTACACCACCGTTTTTCCCCTGGAGCGGAAGGCCGACGTGCCTGACGTTCTCATCCCCTGGCTTGTCTCTGCTCGTGTCCACCGCGGTCTCCCTGTCTTGCGTCTTCACTCCGACCGTGGTGGCGAGTTTGCCTCCGGTGTCCTCGGTCGCTTCTGTCGTGCGGAGGGCATCACCCAGAGGTTTACCCTGCCGGACTCCCCGCAGCAGAATGGGGTCGCTGAGCGACGCATCCGTTTGGTCATGGAGGTGGCTCGCACCTCCATGATCCATGCCGGTGCACCCCATTTTCTGTGGCCGTTCGCCGTGCGCTACGCTGCTCACCAGCTTAACCTGTGGCCGCACCCCCAGCGGCCGCAGGTTTCGCCGACCCTTCTGTGGACCGGGTTCCCTTGTGACGCGTCTGCGTTCCACGTGTGGGGCGGCCTTGCTCACGTTCGTGCCTCTGGCACGGACAAGCTCACTGCCCGCACCCTTCCCTGCGTCTTCCTCGGTTTCCCCCTTGACGCGTCTGACTGGCACTTCTACCTCCCGCCGTCTCACCGCTTCTTTCACTCTCGCGACGTCACCTTTGACGAGTCCGTCTCCTTCTACCACCGCTTCCCCCACCGTGGTCCCCCGGTTACTCCCCCCTGTTCCTGGTTCCTCCCTCCCTGGTGGTCCCTGCCCCTCCCCCCCCCCTCCCCCCCGTCCGGCCCCCTCTGGTGTGTCTCACGTCACCCCCCTCCCATCGGTCGTCCCGGTCGAGGAGTCTTCTGACTCTGGTAGTCCCCCGGCGCAGTCCTCGCCGCCAGTCCCTCCCCCGCTGTCTCCACCTCCACCGCCTCCGCAGCCGCCGTCGCCACAGCTGCGGCAGCTGTCGTCTCCGCCGCCACCGCCGTCGCAGCAGTTGTTGCAGCCGACGCCGCCGCCGCCGCCGCTGTCGTCGCTGCCGCCATTCGTGGACTCTGGGGTTGCTGGCGTTGAGGTGGGTACTCGTCCGGGGCTCCTGTCGTGGCTTGTCCCAGCGGGACTGGGGGTGGTACCGGCGCTGGCGGGGTTTCGGGCTCTGGGGGTGTCCCTTCTGGGGGTGCCGGCATGGAGGGTTCGGGAGGTAGCCGTCGCGCAGCTTGCGGCCCTGGTGTTGGTGTTGTGTCGCAGCCGCAGCAGTCCCCGCCGGTGTCCGCCCTTCGTCTGCTCGGCCTTCCGTCCCCTGACCCTGCGCCTGTTCCTCTCCTGCCGTCTCCTCCTCTTCCCGTCTACGGCCCCGTGTTCCCTCCGCCAGACTCGTCCTCGGCTCGTTTTCCCCCTCGTTCCCCACCCGTGTCCCCTCCTCTGTCCCCTGACCCGATGCCTCCCTCTCACGTCTGGTCTCGCCGTCCCTCCCGTGCTCGTCCTGTCTCCCCCGCCCCGCACTCTCACCCTATGTTGCTACGTTCCCACGCGTCTCGTCCTCCCCTCCTCCCGTCGCCTCCTCCGTCTTCTCTTACAGTTGCGTCTCCTCCTCTCTCTGACTTCTTTCGTGCTGCTCGTCCTCTTGTTCCTCGGGTCCTTGCCTCTCTCGTTACCGACCCGTCTGTTCCGGTCTCCTGCCTTGACGCCCTTGTCGCTGTGGTCGCTGACTTCGCCTCTACCCGCCGCCTTGACTACGCCACCGCTCTGGTCTCTGACCCTGCCTGTCCTCCGTCTGTCGGGGGTGCTCCTGCCCTCGGCAGTGACGTCCTGGAGGACCGCCAGTTCGAGCTTGCTTTCCTGTCCGAGGCTGCTCCCCATCTCTGTTCCATGCTACTAGTCCCTGAGGGTGACCCAGACGCTTTCGACATCCCAACCCCTCGTACTTACGCTGAGGCGGTTTCGGGACCCTGGGCCTCTCAGTGGATAGCTGCCATGGAGCAGGAGATGGCATCTTGGAGATCCACCGGCACCTTCGTCGACGCAGTTCCCCCACCTGGGGTGAACGTAGTCGATGGCCGGTGGCTCTTCAAGGTGAAGCGCCTTCCTGGAGAGCCGCCTGTGTTCAAGGCGCGCTACGTGGCTAGAGGTTTCAGTCAGCGCGAGGGGGTGGACTTCTTTCAGACTTTCGCTCCTACCCCGAAGATGATTACTCTTCGGGTTCTGCTACACGTAGCGGCTCAGCGTGACTACGAGCTTCACTCCCTCGACATCTCCACTGCCTTCTTTCAGGGCAGCCTACACGAGCAGGTCTACCTGCGTCGCCCTCAGGGCTTCACTGGCGCCTTCCCTCCTGGGACCCAGTGGCTTCTGCGGCGCCCAGTCTACGGCATGCGCCAGGCGCCCCGTGAGTGGCACGACACGTTGCGTGCTACCCTCGCTGACCTGCAGTTCTTTCCGTCCTCTGCAGACCCCTCACTCTTTGTTCGTGCTGGCCAGACTCCGTTTTACATCCTTGTCTACGTAGACGACCTGGTCTTCGCCACTGCAGACAGGGACGCACTGGCCTCCGTGAAGGCAGAGCTGCTGAAGAGACACACTTGCACTGACCTTGGAGAGCTGCGCCGTTACCTTGGTTTGCAGATCTCCAGGGACAGAGCCGCGCGCACCATCACCCTGACTCAGTCACACTTGGTGCGCCAGGTCCTTCAGAGGTTCGGCCTTCAGTTCTCCTCAGCACAGCCCACCCCTCTTCCTCTGGACCACAGACTCTCCGCTCCAGTTCCTGAGGAGTCGGTAGATCCCAGTGGTCCTTACGCTGAGCTGGTGGGTTGCCTCATGTACCTGATGACTTGCACTCGCCCAGATCTCGCATACCCTCTCAGCATCGTGACGCGCTTTGTGGCCACAGGCAGACACCGACCTCAGCACTGGTCTGCCGCTAAGAGGGTTCTGCGTTATCTTGCAAGTACATCGGGCATGGGGTTAATGCTAGGCGGACGCAGGCCGGTGGTCCTGACTGGACACACAGACGCTTCTTGGGCAGACGACGCCGAGACGCTCAGGTCCTCCCAGGGCTACTACTTCAGCCTTGGCTCAGGTGCTGTCTCGTGGAGAGCTACCCGCTCCTCGTCTGTTGCTCAGTCCAGCTGTGAGGCTGAGATCTACGCCGGTGCCATGGCGGCACAGGAGCTCCGCTGGCTGAGCTTCTTGCTCGCTGACTTAGGTGAGCAGCCTAGCTCTGCTCCGGTCCTGTACGCTGACAACAGGGCCATGATCCTCCTGTGTCAGGATCCTCGACTCGAGGGTAGAGCAAAGCATATCCAGCTGCGGTACTTCCTCCTGCGCGAGCTACAGCAGCGACGCCAGGCTCGCGTAGTACACTTGGCCTCAGGTGCCAACACAGCTGATATCTTTACGAAGGCACTTGCGCCTAAAGATCATCAGCGGCACTGTGTACAGCTTGGTCTAGTTCCTGTAGTCTCTCACTTGCTTGGGCCTTGACTTTGTACTGTCCTATATATATGTACACTCAGACTGGACTTGTGTCCTCTCATAGTGGTTGGACTAGTAGTGCGGCCCTGTACTTGTTCTTGCCTTGTCTGTACTCCTTCTGACTGGTCTTTTAGACCCTTGTCTCAGAGGCTGGACTAGTAGTGCCACCCTGAGCTGTTTTGTCATGACCTGCACCTATGCAGTCTAGGGGGTGTGTCAAACATGTATATCTACTATGTTTGCATAGACTGAATAGAGTCATGTCTTATATAGGGTACAACTCTTAGGTATATTCACATGTTCTCTCTCTTTTAATTCATTCTTCTACTCTGATATTAGTCTCCTCTCCTGCACCACCTGTCAAATTATTACACACCGAACCTTTTCCGCGTCATCCGAAGCGCTCCGCGTCCTCGGATGCCTTCGTGCTGACGTGCGCATCACGCGGTTAGGATTCGCTCTGGTGTTCCTATATCTAGCCTCGTTTTTCATTGTACCGACAATCTGTGAATCTGCAAATCTGTAATTCTGAACTTCGATATTCACTTCCGCGCTACTCTGGGTTTCCACCCATAACAGAATGGGATGGAGCATACTGCACTCCTGCCACACTTGCTTGACTGTGCCCTCCCCTCACCGCCCCTCACTATTACTAAGTGGTCTCCTTCAACTGCAGCCAGCGCAGCAGCAGAGCAGCGGTGAAGCACCTTGCAGCGCGCGTCATTCCCGGCTGCTCGCTCTCCCTCGGCCCCGCCACGTTCACCACCCCCACCTGCTGCTGCTGCAGCCACGCACATACCCTCTCCGCCATGCCACACATCTCCCCACATGTGCTCCTGCTCCTGCAGTGGGGGCAGCACACCTCACCACTTCCACCATCTTGCTGCCGCCCCTGCTCTTGTTGCTGCTGCTGCTCCTGCTGCTGCTGCTGCTCCTGCTGCTGCTGCTGCTCCTGCTGCCGCTGCTGCTGCTGCTGCTGCTGCTGCTGCTGCTGCTGCTGCTGCTGCTGCTGCTGCTGCTGCTGCTCCTGCTGCTCCCGGTGCTGCTGCTCGCACTGCCCATGGCGGCCCCCCATGCAGCAGCAGCAGCAGCGGCACGGTGGCAGCACGACCACCATACATGGCTTGCCGTGCCTCACAGCCAGCTCCACTGTCAGCTCCGTGCCGCCACTCACCTGCCGCACTCTCCGCAACTCTCCACTCGCCACTCCTCTCTAGCCCAGCCACAACCGTTCTTCCACCTCACTCCCATTCCCGCAGTTCCCCCTCCGCCTCTCCATCTCCCTTCCAACCACGCAAACCTGTCCGTGTGTTGCTTCTGCTGCTGCTTCTCCTCCTCCTCCTGCGTCCCAAGCGCCTTCCAGCAGCAGCACCAGCGTCGCGTCCGCGTCCGCCACATTCCGCTCCGTGCGCGCGCCGTACCCCGCCTGCGGAAGCTCCGCCATCCGCTCCGCCAGCTCCCGCGGGATCTCCCCGTCCTCCGCGCGCCGGCCCGCGGGGCAGCTTCCCCCGAATGGGACGCCGAGCGCGAGCGCCGCCATCAGCGCTCCACGATCCGCGCCGGTCTGGCCACCTGATATGATGCGCGGACGTGGATTCGCCATCATAGCGTGCGAGTAGACCGCAGCAGCGAACTATGACAGCAGCAGCAGCAGCAGCAGCGAGTAGACCACAGCAGCGAACTATGACAGCAGCAGCAGCAGCAGCAACGAGTAGACCGCAGCAGCGAACTATGACAGCAGCAGCAGCAGCAGCAGCAGCAGCGAGTAGACCGCAGCAGCGAACTATGACAGCAGCAGCAGCAGCAGCAGCAGCAGCAGCAGCAGCAGCGAGTAGACCGCAGCAGCGAACTATGACAGCAGCAGCAGCAGCAGCAGCGAGTAGACCGCAGCAGCGAACTATGACAGCAGCAGCAGCAGCAGCAGCAGCGAGTAGACCGCAGCAGCGAACTATGACAGCAGCAGCAGCAGCAGCGATAGACCGCAGCAGCGAACTATGACAGCAGCAGCAGCAGCAGCAGCGAGTAGTCCGCAGCAGCGAACTATGACAGCAGCAGCAGCAGCAGCGATAGACCGCAGCAGCGAGTAGACAGTTTCGGTAAGCGGAGAAAGCGAGCGGCCGGAGAGCGGAGGAGTGAACGCAAGGTCGAGCCGCGAGTAGCGATCGGCGATTGCGTTGTTTGCATTCGTCCTGGGGTTGACTCAGTTACACGGCCAATGAGACGGATAGAGGTACCAGACGAGTTCCAAGTTGGCTGACATCAGCAGACGTCGATAATCGGTAATCGAGATTTCTTGCAGGTATTCTGTACGTTTCAGAGAGTTGCAGTGGGGTTCAACGACTCGGATGTCCTCGACATTGGAGTTTGACCCCCCACTAATTTCGGAGGCACACAAGTGAACATCCCAATTATGGAGTTATCGGCGAATAGTGTTAGTAGGGTTGGTTCACATCGAGAACATCCCAACTGAAGTTTGGTGTAAGGCTTAGATGTTAGTAATGAAAATCCACAAATGATAACAAATTCAAGATAAGCATATCCCCCAGCAGCCAATTAGAGCACCTACCAAAATACACACCCTAACCCCATTACAATAGCAGCAGCAGCACCGTAAAGAGAAATGTGGAAGCAGTAGTGCAGTGAGCCCATGGGACGGAGGCGCACAAACCACAGTACACAAGGCACACTGCACAGAGCCCTCTATTAGCGAGTACAGGCAAACAAGTGCAGCACACGGCACCATCAGAGCTCCTTCGGGCAGCACACACACTAGAGCAGAGCAGGAGGGGTCATGTCTAGAGCCCACCAGAGTTCCATAGGGCCCAAAGTACCAGGTGATGCCAGAAGCAGTGATGGACTGGACACATGACTTTGATGGCCCTTAAAACATAGAATCTACAGGAAATCAGGGGGGAGTAAGGGCCCGTCGGAGCTCCAGAGCGCCCAGCTAAAGTACCAGGTGATGCCAGCAGCAGCAGGTGCGGGTGCGGGCTGGGGCGAAGGCGGAGGGGGCTGCGGCGGCAGGTACTGTGTCCACAGCTGCACCATCTTGCCCCGGTCCGTCTCCGTTGCTGCGGTGACCAGAGAGAAGCACACACAGCACAGTCAGCACAGGCAGCACAGCAGACACACGTACACATTACCCCCCCCCGCCCCCCCTCCCCCCCCCCCCCCCCGCCCCCCCTCCCCCCCCCCCCCCCGCCCCCCCTCCCCCCCCCCCCCCCCGCCCCCCCTCCCCCCCCCCCCCCCCCCCCCCCCCCCCCACACACACACACATATACACGGAAGGCATGGGAATATGGCACATAAAGTATACGCCGCAAACCACCAATGGAACATGGCCATCACCGCCAAAAGCAGGCACGCAGCGAGCAAGATGAGAAGGCGGGTGCGCGCAGCTGCAACTCAGCATTGCAGTGTGGTGCAAACAGTAGCAAACAAGAGGCCAGCAGCGGCTCATAGGGCGACTACTACACCCACACTCAAGCTTCGCAAACCCAGGTTGACTTGGCAGACAGAACCACACCACCCACATATATCACAATGTAGGGAACACCAGAGGGCTAGATCCACTGTCACAAGCGGGGGACTTCTCACCTGTGTTGTCGAGCAGCGTGTAGGAGCCGCGCGTGATGACGTGGTAGGGGTTGGGCCCCTTGATGGGGTAGCTGCTGACCTTGTACTTCACCACTATCACCTCCTCCATTGTCACCGCCACCGTCGACCCGCTCGCCACGAAATCCTAAGGGACAGCAGGGGGAGGGGCGGCAGGAGGAGGGGTGGAGAGAGGGAGGTTGCGCGAGTGAGACCGAAGCGGAGGTTCAAAGAGATGGGAAGAGGGGCGGGCGGAGAAGGGATGGGAGGGAGAGAGGAGGAGATGAGGGGGGAGGAGGAGGGAGGAGGAAGAAGGGGGAGAGGAGGAACAAGGGGGCGAAGAGAAGGGGAAAGAAGGGAGAGAGGAAGGTACGGAGGGGGGAAAGCGGGAGGGGTGGTGTGGGGGTGAGAAGGTGTGACCATGGGCAAGAAACAGCAATCACTCCGTTCTGTTCCCTCCAGACGATGCATCCTCACACTCTCACTCCGCTCCGTTCCCCTCCGTGCGTTGAAGAACGCCTCACAAAGCACCCTCACACCTCCCCTCCGCCCCCCCCCTCTCCCCCCCCCGCGCGCGCTCACCCCCAGCAGCTGCAGGATCTGCGGGGTGGTGGCCAGCATGAGAGCGCGCGACCCCGGCGGGAGCAGCAGCGTGGGCTCGCCGGGCGGCCCAAACAGCCGGCTCGCGCCCAGAAGGTCCCCGGACGCCAGCGCGTTGAAGAACGCCTCGATCGACGCCTGGATGCCCACCAGCGCCGAACCCGCGTCCGGCCGTAGCGGCGACGGCGGCTTCGGCGGGCCGCCGCGACCCATATCGCCGCGTATCGCCGCTAACAGCTCCTTTGCGCACTGCGGCAACTGCTGCATTTCCGCCTCCGCGTCCAGCCGCTTCGCGCGGGTGAGAAGCGCGGAGGCCCCGGCGCCGAACTCTCCGCGGAGAAGCACCTCGCGGAGCGCTTGGTGGAAGCCGTCCGCCGCCGCGGGGGACGGCGAGTGAGGAGGCGGGGACTTTGGGGGCGGCGGAGGCGGCGACTTCTTGGGCGCGGGGAGGTCGTAGTTCCACGTCATCCAGCTGACCGCCCAGATGTAGAGCGAGTTATCGGCCGCAGCAGCCGCGTTACTACCACCCACGCCGCCAGCAGCAGCAGCAGCAAGCTCGTCGGCAGTAGCGACATAGCCATCGGCAGCAGCAGCAGCGGCCGCCCCTGTAAGACCATCGTCGCGAACGAGATCCCAGAGGAAGACGAACTTAGCGGGGCCGCGCACCGTCGTCATGGACCCGAGCGTCACGATCGAGTAGTCCAGGTACCGCTTCGGCGTCGGCTCGTACACGTCGAGGCGCGTGACGGCGAACGTCGCCCCGGTGAGGTCGCGCTGCTCCTGCAGGAAAGCTGCCTGCGACGCGGGATCCGGGAGGTAGCGCAGCGGGAGGTCCGGCGGGAGGACCAGCGCGAGCGGCGCGAAGAGCTCCCGCGCCGCCTTTTCGTAGTTGCCGACCGCGAGGCGCGACGCGGTGCGGGTGAGCAGGGTGGAGATGAATTTGACCGCGACCGACACCTTGGGATCGCCAAAGATCTTGCTGCGGAGATCGACGGCTGAGGATGCATCATCGCCTAGGTTCTCCAATGCGAGGGAGTCTAAGGAGAAGGAGGGGTGTGTGGTGGTGGTGGTGGTGTCTAGGGCGGTGGTGGTGGTGGCGCTTGAGGCAAGCAGTAGCATTGCGAGGAAGAGGAGGGCAGAAGACGACGCGCGTTCCGCCATGGCTGCACGAGGAGAGTCAAATCGCCCACCCGAGTAGGAAAATGAATTAAGCAGTGCAGTCGCCGGCACTAGTGACTTATGACTGCTGCTCGGGAACCAGGTTCGCTGGCAAACTACAGTAGGTAGGACCTGCCGTTCTTGACAGCTATTTTGTGGAGTGGAGTTGGTGTTGTGGGGAGGAGACGCACGACAAAGGGGAGGGAGAGAGGAGCGAGAGGGGTGGGGGAGAGGCGAGTGGCGGAGGGAGGAAACTGAGGGTGTGGTTACCCATGGTCTCGAGTCTGAGGCCTGTCGTTCTTCTTCGCAAGCCTTTTCGCCGATATTTTCGGCACCTGCCAGCCACTTGGCGGCCTCGGTCTCGAGATTCGTTGAGCCCCGCGCTGGGCAAATGCTGCTGCTCCGCACGTCAGCGCAAGCCCAGCCCGCGGACAGAAATGCCCTCCGTACACCGCATGGGGGCTGTTCTGCGGCAAGGGGTGGCAGTGTTCAGAGAACTGTAGCGACGGCATTTGACAACAATAATTAGTCATCTGCTTGCAGAAAATTGTCTAAAAATGACATGAATACATGGTGCTTAGCATTTATAATACACTATCAAGGTCTTGCGTGCCCACGAAGCAAGCGATCCTGACTACCTGAAATCGAAGAATTGTATAAAGAATTTCTGGGGGATTCTTGCCGACATATCCATGCGCTGTTGTGCGTGAGCGCCGTGCCTGGCAGGACGTGTGAAGTAGAGGTCCCTGCCATGTGGCGGAATGAGACATCGTCATTGGCGCTGTTTTGAAGCTCATCATTCGTCCATATGGAGCTGCGATAACAGCCTGCCAGTTTGACATCCCCCGAGAATTTCGGATGTTGATGGGGGCATCCAGGAACCAACCGTTGGTCCCAACAGCGAGACATCAGGTGTAGCTAATTTCCGCTTTCAAAAGCACTTCGTTAGGACTCACACTGTACTGAGGTGAGAACCACCCCTGGAGTGCTCCGTTTCTTCAGAGTTCGCAATCTGTCCAAGGTCCAGTGTCCATGGAACATAGGGCTGGTGTTCAGGGGAATATAATAAGAACCCATAAAATGCGAGGGCTGTTCAATGATTTGGAAAACCCCAAGTGAAGGCCTGGTTGTGCTGAAGTTGTGGCGAAGTCCACAGCCATCGCGAACGGGGAATTCCGCCCCTGCCCTCCCCCCCCCCAAGACCTCTAGGGTTGCATTGCGCCTGGGCCTTGCTGCAGTTGGAGAATGGACGAGTGGATGCCTTTTCGCCTTACACCTCATTCTACACCTTACATGCCATCATTAGTTCAAGCTTGAGGCTCCGCGTTTAGAACTCAAGCCATAGCTCCTGACGTTTTGCCATGGGTCGACCATTCAAGCACTACCTCCAAGGCGCTCGCATCTACAGCTGCAGCAATTGTCGGAGTCACGCAGCGGACGATGCGGAGATTATATCGAAGTCGTTCCAGGTAAGTCATCCACATCGCTGCTCGTTCTCTCACGTTAGCCTTGCGGTGGCGCCGTCTACGCTCTGACCAAGTCGTCGGTTTTGTTGGCGCAGGGACGACACGGTAGAGCGTATCTATTTTCGAACGTAGTGAACGTTATGGTAGGTCCCAAAGAGGACCGGCTGCTCATCACGGGACTGCACACCGTGGCGGATATTTACTGCGCTGAGTGCCAAGAGGTCCTCGGGTGGAAGTACGAGAAAGCTTACGAGGACCTACAGAAGTATAAGGAGGGGAAATTCATTCTGGAAAAGGCCAAGCTGCTGAAGGAGAATTGGTGAAGGCGTCCTGCAGCACCCTGTCCTGGGAAAGTTTGTACAGCTAAGTTCATGGCGGAGCTGGCAGGAGACAGGGGGAGACGATTTTATACATTTCTGTACATACTTAGACGCTCACTTGTACCTTTGTACATAATTGTAGTGAATTTACCCTTTTGGGCTCTCTCCTCACACGAGTCCATTACTGGCGCTCACTATCCACACCACTGCACTTTCATGGCCATGGTGCTGTATGTTGAGCTTTCCGCTGCGTCCTCCACAGTAGAATGAGCAGGGAGCATTGACAGCAATAATGACCTGGAATGACATGGGTGACATAGAAGTGAAGATATAACTAAGACATGTAATGCAATCTAGTTTGGATTTTGTTTTCTTACGGTCGAAATCAATAGCATGACGGTGTAATACCGTTTCAGATGACTCCTACGTGTAACGGAACCAGCACTGATTGGGTGCAGTGAACCAAAGCCAACCAATTTCATGGGCTTGAAGCTGGACCTTTCACGTGCCATCTCTACTCAAGGCCGTTGACATCCACCCGCTTTCACGCACCGATGCTGTCAAAAAGCGCATCCACGGCTGTCGTGCTCCACACGTGGATGGATGAACCAAAAACTTGGCCCACTCCTTCCCCGGAGGCGGAGGCTCAACCAATCAAACGAGGCTGCCATCCTCGAAGGTTTCGCCTGGGTTTTGATGAACCGTCACATCAAACACCAAGGGCGCCCCGACCATTGAGTGACTGACATTCCCCATTCCCCTTACCCTGACCAACCTCATCACGATCACAATCTCTCCCCCCACCCGTCCCTCCATCCGAGGCTGCTTTGATCCTGGGTATAACAACTCCAGCGACCTTGTTTTATCATTGGCCCTGTTACCTCCATTTTCGATTCAGTGGTCGACACCCGTTCCAGTGATCGACGCCCATCCCAGTGGTCGACGTCTCTCTTCTGTACTCTGTTATGGCGTCCACTGCTAGCAGATGGGTGAAGCCCGAGGTATGTGTGCAGGGTCTGGCCTCGGTGTTGCATGTTTCGTCCTTCCTCTCTCCCACGTCAGACGCTTATTGGCTTTCTTTTTCTCTACAGGTATACCCACTCCTCGCGGCCGTGGGAACCGCAGCCGGGCTCTCCATTTTTGCCTTGACACGGAAGATTATCGCTGACCCCGGAATCAGGTACAATCCGCACTGCGTCTTCTGAGATTATCTCGACCCACTACCGATTCAATCTCGTCCGCTTAAAAGTGGTATTCAACCCTTGCAAGAGTTATACTGAGTAGCGTTTTGGTGCGTAATCTTCGTGCAGTGTGAGCAAGGAGGTCAGAGCCCATGGCATGGCTGACGATCTGAAGCAAGGTCAGAAGTACAAGATGCATTTTGTTAGAAGAGCTGTGGCCGACCGTTCTCCTGAAATCATGCCTGCCTTCAATCGGTGGTGTATCGGATCACCTAAGTAAAAGCTTACGTTTCCCCGGAAACTTTCAATGCGGCGTACGGTGTTCAGTGAACGATTCTGCTCAACATGCTCAAGTCTTATTCATGTCGGTGGTATCGGGCATTGATTAATTGCTAACTGGACATCGCCGTACACCAACCGGCACACCAACCGGCTAAGTAGCACTGACGGAGTGTACCCTTGACTCCATGAATATGTATGTCGTAAAAGTGAAGTCACTACATTTATGGTAAACCTAGCTGGTTGAGGCGCACTGGGCTCGGCCTAATTGTCCTGGGTCCTGGGTCACAGGCAGATATATCGAGCATGATTCGATCATAACCACATCCCCCGACTGGAAGCGGAAATGTCGAATAATTTTTTGATACGGAGATTGTAGCTATGACCGTTTCTGTAAGTTATTTTGGTTTGACAAATGCAAACGGACAAAATGAAAAGATTTCTGAAAACCATCATTACCGACTGGCAAATGAAGATTTAATTAACAACTTACTGGAAAATGTTTTAATTATCAAACAGTTGTTGCTGATGTTACTATGCTGTGAGTGTTAATCAAGTACATTATTTTACAATTTCATATCGTTAGGAAGATGGAAGCGTCGCAATTTCACCTTTCATTTGCCAAGGAGATTCTTCGAAGTGATGTAAGCCCTGCACATGACCTTTCACGCATTTCCCGCATTTATGACATTTGTGAAATTTGTACGCCACGCAAGACCCTCAGGCAGCAAATCGAGCAAGAATCAATGTCATTGATGGAATCATATCCACAAGGCTTCTGCCAGCATCTACACATTAACCAGCAAAAACATGTCCAATGGGCCTAAGGAAATTCCAGGATCACCATTTAGTAGAGGCTGTCCTCCTGGTGGGTCTGGACGGTCACATCGGAGGTAGGGTAGGCGATGCAGGTCAGGACGAAGCCCTTGGCCATCTGGTCGTCATCAAGGTAAGACTGGCCAGACTGGTCGACGGAGCCGGAGGTGACCTTGCCGGCGCACGACGAGCAAGCACCAGCTCTGCAGGAGTAGGGCAGGTCGAGTCCAGCCTCCTCAGCGGCGTCGAGGATGTACACGTCGTCAGCGACATCGATGGTGGAGGTACCGCTGGGGGTCTCGAGGGTCACCTTGTAGGTGGCCATGGAGACGCGGGCAGCGGAGGGGGCAACCTTGAAGGTCTTAGCGACGCTAGTCTTCAGGGTGGTGGAGGCCTTGAGGGAGGCCACAGGGGCAACAGCCATGGTAGCGGCAAGGGCAGCCATTTCGAAAGATTGAGGGTTGAGAAAGCTGCACGAGTGCTACACGAGATAGGCTGATGAAAGATGGGCGTGACGTGAAAGGAGAAGTGCTTCAGCACAAGAAATATGACCTCCCACCACGAGACTCAGCCTTCGAGAACATGCGATTGGAGGTGCCTATCTGGCACCAAGATTTGCCCGTGGCAACAGAGGGACCAAAATGGATAGGCACGACCCCCAGCGGAGGCCCACGAGAGGCCAAGTCAAGCGTAGGTGGCATCGGGCTGTCATCAATCAGCCACGTCATTGACAATCGAGCAGCGAAAAGGGGAATGTGTGTACGACATTTTGAGAGGCGAACTGGGTAACGGTGCATGCTCCATCGCGAAACGAGGTTTGGGAGCTGTGTCGTGCACCAATCAACCCCCTGCGGATGCCATCAATCCCAAGCAGCATATTCGGGTGTGGTGAGGCCAGTGTGGGTGTAGATAAATCTCCTTACCAGTAGCACATTGAAAATTCCTCATTGCTCGCTCATCTACACCATGTTCTATAAATATATGGTTGCATATCACCTTGTTGATATAACAAGAAGACTTTTGACGAGCCTGTGCAACCACATATATTGTTCTGTTCAGTACACTCAAACATCTACACAAGCAACATCGTCAGTCTAGGTAGGTAACTCACTCCACTAGCGCATGCACATACTCGCTATAGAAGAAGGTACGCTCAATAAAGCGACTGACAAAATGGGCAGCAGCAGCGAAAAGAAGAGCGCCAAGGGCAAGAGGCACAGCTAGATTGAGGGAGAGAGGCAGTCGTTGGAGCGCGGAGAGGGTTGGGAGGAGAGCGAGGAGCACGAGGCAGACAATCACAGCGGCCCAGAGAGCAAGGCGGATACGGGAGAAGAGGCGCTGGGCAGACTGGCATGTCTTGCAGATGCTGATGTGGCTCACTTGCCTGCATGGGGGTGGGGGTGGGTTGAGGAAAGAGGGGGGAATGGGGGAGCAGAGAATGGAAGGGGGCAGGAGGGAGGAAGTGGAAGAAGATGGTAAAAGTGAGAACCCTTCTGAGAGTGAGCAGAGCAATGTGATACGTGCAGTGGGGTATTTATGATCTGTACCTGTCCATGACTTGTTCTTTTGGCAGAGGGGGCGGGAGCGCAGGGTTGACATAAGCGGGCCAGGGCACTCGCCCGCCTGCATAGCTGTCCATCCAGAAGCGGAAGGCCGTGACAAACGCATCCGACTTGGTCGGCGTGTAGTACGCCTTATTCGTGGTGATCACACTGCCGCTGCTGCTTGAAATGCGGCTGCTGCTGTCACTGCTGCTTTGGGCTTTGCTGTGAGTGCTGCCGTTGCTACTGGCACTTGCAGCAGCCAGAAGAAGCTTCTCCTCCTCCAGCCTCCGCTCCTGGTGGGGGTGGGACGAAGGGGGGGGGGGGTGGGGGGGAGGGAAATATAGTAAGTGGGGAATGGAATGTGGGATCAGAGAGAAGGGCATGGATATCCGAGAGGCTGCATGGATCCTATACCACCAACCAACCCAACTTCCTCCAAACTCTTCTATACCCATCCCCCTCACTCCATCCTTCCCTCCTCCCCCCACTCCCCATTCTCCCCCCTCTCTCCCTCACCAGCACATGCAGGAAGTAGTGGTCGGAGTCGAGAATCACGAGCTGCCGCAGGTGCGTGAGCCCCCCCCGGCCCCCACTCCCATCCCTTCCCCCACTCCACATCCCCCCTATTCCACATCCCCCCCCCCCCCCCTTCCCCCCCACCCCCCTCACCAGCACGTGCAGGAAGTAGTGGTCGGAGTCAAGAATCACGAGCTGCTGCAGGTGCGTGTAGAAGCGCGGAATGAGCGCCACGACGGGCGGGAAGAAGTTGGAGGGGAAGGTGAAGATAAGGCGGCTCTTGCCGGGGGCCGTGGGGATGCAGTAGAAGGCGAGGACAAGCTTCTTGGGAGGGTCCGAGGGGGGCTGGTGGGGGGATGGGGGGAAAGGGAGAGGGCGACGGGAAAGGGGAAAGAGGAGAGAAAAAGGGTTGAATGAAGAGGTCTCGTGCCGGGGGTCGCCGCGGGGATGCGGTGAAAGACAATCTCCTGGCGCGCTAGCGTGGGCGGCAGGAAGGCGGAAACGCCCAGGAGCAAATGGAGTAGAGAGAGGGAGGGGGCAATGACCTGGCCAGGGAGGGGCAAGCAATGGAGGCGCTTCACTCATTCCATCTCACCTGGCCAGGCTCGGTTGTTGAGACCCCAAACTCATTCATTTAATCTCACCTGGCCAGGCTTGGGCTGGACGATGATCTCCTGGCGCGCGAGAGTGGGCGGCAGGAAGGCAAAGGGGCCGCCCTGGTCGTTGGAGCCCTGGAAGCCCTGGGCGCGGATGCCGCTCACCGTCAGGTTCAGCGGCTTGCCGTACTTGCGGTTGCTCTGGGGGGCAGGGGAGGAGACGGGGAGGAGACGGGGAGGAAGGGGAGAGATGGCGTGAAAGGAGGTCAACAGGGGAAGGTGGAAGGACGAAGAGAGAGGAGTGGATGCCGCTCACTGTCAGGTTCAGCGGTTTGCCGTACTTGCAGCTGCTCTGGTTTTGAGGTGCCCCAAAACTAGGGTTCAGCGGCTTGCAGTACTTGAGGTGCTCTGGGGGCCTGGGGGGAAGAGGGAGGGCAGAGGGGATGGACTGGGGAGGGGAGATGGGGTTTGAAGGTTGGGGAGAGGTAGGGTTCAGCGGCTTGCCATACTTGCAGCTGGACTAGGAGGGTGGAAGGGGGAGGGGAGACAGGGAGGAGGGAGAAAGGGCGGAAGGGGGAAGGGGGGAAGGGGTGCGGAGGTAGAATGCGGAATGGCGGGCACACAGCAGCACTCGCAGCACTCGCAGAAATAGCAGCAGCAGCAGCAGAAGCAGCATCAGCAGCATCAGCAGCAGCAGCATTCGCAGCAGCACTTGCAGCACTAGCAGCTGCAGCAGCAGCAGCAGCATGGGCAGAGCAGCCGCAGGCAGAAGCAGTACCATGATCTTGTGGTGGGCGAATGGCACGTGAGCCGGGTCCACGAGATTCTCCACTAGCAGCTCGTAGCTGCACACATGGGGCACGGGGCATGGGGCACGTTTGTGGTGAGCAGTGGTGGTGGGGCTATGGGTACTAGCAGAGGGGCACGTGAACCGGGGTCCAGGTCCACTAGATTCTCCACCAGCATCTCCTAGCTGTGGGCATGGAGATATGTGGGCATGGAGATATGTGGGCATGGAGGTATACCCGTACTGCAGGTCGGTCTGCACAACGTCCCCCTGGAGTTGGGATCCTCCGGCTCCGGCGCCATGTCCCGACCCCCCTGCCCTGCGCCCCCCTCTTGCGCTCACCCTTCCCCCTCCCCCCTCGCGATTCCCCCTCCCCTCGCTCGTGTGCTCACCCGTACTGCAGATCGGTCTCCACCACGCCCCCCTGGAAGGTGGGGTCCTCCAGCTCCGGCACCACGGGCACGGGCGAGGCAGCAGTCTTCCAGCACCATAGGCGAGGCCCTGTAGGCACAACAACTACGAGATTGAACCACCTGCCACCTTCCGCTCTCGGCTCCCTTCCCTCTTTCCCCTCTCCCCTTCCCCTCTCCCCCCATCTCCCCATCTGCCCATCCGCCCTTGGCTCACCCGTACTGCAGGTCGGTCTGCACCACGTCTCCCTGGAAGGTGGGGTCCTCCAGCTCCGGCACCACGGGCACAGGCGAGGCAGCGGCCTCGGCAGCCGCGCCGGGCGAGTGGTCCATCCACACAAAGACGATGCCGTGGCGCACGGTCGTGGGGTAACGGCGCGCGCACGCACGGGGGGATGTGTTCACCTGGTGCGGTGAAGGGAGGGTGAAGGGGCACACGCCGAGGGGGGACTGAGGATGGGGAAGGGGGAGGAAAGAAAGAGGGCGAGTGGTCCATCCACACAAAGACAATGCCGTGGCGCATGGTCGTGGGGTAGCGCCGGGCGCACGCACAGGGAGACGTATTGACTTGGGGTTCGCATGGTGTGACATGGGGGGATGGATGGATACAGGAGGAGGGAGGGCTTGAGTCGACTCAAAAGGCAGAAGCGCCAGGCAAACGGTCCATCCACACGCAAAGACGACTAAAGAATCACCAAGTCTACTCACACAGTACAGTGCGTTCCTTTCTGCTACCCAGGGCTACTCTGCTCCCACTTCTCATGAGCCCACTGCTTTGCCGTGAGAAGTGGGAACAAGGGTTCCCTGTGCCGCGCTTTGCCGTGCCGTGCGGTGCAGTGCGGTGCTGTGCGGTGCTGTGCGGTGCAGTGCGGTGCTGTGCGGTGCCGTGCTGTGCTGTGCTGCGTTTAGTCTCACCGGAGGGCCGTCCTTGGGAGCCTGGGGGATGAACGAGCAGGAGGTGTCCGGGGCGAAGGTCCACCCGTGGTAGCTGCACTGCAGGTCGCCCGACTCGTGGATGCGCCCCTCCGACAGCGGCGCTAGCCTGCACGGGGGGAAGGACGGGGGATGGGGGAACAGGGGACCGGGGGACAGGGGGACAGGGGGATGGGGGGATGGGAAGACCCCGGTAAATGTTGCACGGACAGGGGGGGTAAGAGCTTAGGCGCAGCGCGGGTAGCATCGAGCATGCAACGGTGTGGTGGTGCGGACGACGGTGAGCTGCCATGCGGTGGTGTGATGGTCAGGTCACAACTGTCCCACTTACCTGTGCGACGCACCACTTGTCGCACCTGTGCGGGCAGAGGTCGTGGAAGGCGAGCCACTGCTGCGAGGGCGCGTGGAACCAGATCACCACGGGCCGCCCCAGCAGCGTCAGCGCCACCGGCACGCGCGGATCCAGCTCGCGCACCACGGCTGGGGGGGCGGGGGAAGGGGGAGGGGGTGCGGGGAAGGGGGACGCGGGGGACGGGGGAGTGGGGAATGGAGAAGGGAGGGGCGGGGCGGGTGTGGGTAAGCACGGAGAGCGGCGACGAGAGGAAGAGAACGCGGCAAGAACAGGGGAGGGAGACACGCGTGAAACATGGTACACCGTCGGATACGCCCAACTGAAGTGACAAGGCAAATCAGGTCCGTATCACGCCCGACGTGAGGTTTTGTGAGGTGTTATAACTGAAGCCCAACTCAAGGTCACATCAAGCCCACATGCCTGCGGGGTACCAGTTCTTCTCCCACACGAATTTCCCCCCCTCCGCTTTATCGCGCGCCGCCTCGGCTTCCGCGCGCCACGCCTCCGCCGCCGCGCTGTCGCTGGCAGGCGGAGCGGCAGCAGAACCACCGGCTTCGACGGCCATCGCCACCGTCGCGCGCTGCTGACGTGGCAGCGCGCGCTTCGAGCGCAGCGACGGCAGTCGGCAAATGCTGGCGGCGCGACGTGCGGACAGGTGGGCGTAATCATGACGATGATGATGATTTCCCGCTATTCGGGGAGAGGGAACAGCGGCGCGACGCCGTGTTTCGAGACATGGCTGCGTGGGAGCGAGAGACGAAGCGCCGCATGTGACGGCTAGTTGCGACGCCATGGCTGGCTGGCTGGCTGGCTGGCTGGCTGGCTAGCTGGCGGCGAGAGTAATATACGCGCGCACAAACACAAGCCTAAATGGAGGTGTCTCTCACTCGAATCGAAGCACGAGGCGAGGCGAGACTAGTGTACTGTATTAGACACTTGGTGGTGTGTGCATGTATTCGCGCACGGCGCACAGGGCTAGTGGGCTGTACGTACTGTGGGGGTAGTGGCTGGCTGGTCAAGCAGGTGACTTCGATTGGAACTTGGCTTGGAGGGAGTTCGATTCAATTGATCGACTCACATGAGCCCAGCCCACATGGAAAAAGGGCGAATTTCCGCAAGTCCAGTCGAGTCGATCCTCACTGAAAGTTGTGTTTGTGGCATCTGCGCGCGCGAGGGATTGTTGGGATGAGATTCGGCGAGGCATGTGCGAAGCGAAGCGACAGCGTGGCATGTCATGGACCAGACGTATTGGCGGACGTGGAGATGAGGACATGACTCACATGAGCCCAGCGTGCGATTACAACGAGGATGCGCTGGATGCGTGCATTCCATGTACACCTTTCCCTCTTTATTGTTCCACCCAGAACAGTCAAAATTGTATTCTCACTACCAGGTTCTCTGCATGACTCGCGTTGACACTGAACCTGATTGGCTGCAGTCTGAACGATAGCGAACTACCAAGTTGTATTTCGAAAATTGCGAGATTCAGAGCTGGGACGTCGCGCAGGCAACGAATTTAGTGCTTGAGAGAGATTTTGTAACCAGGTGTCATTTCTTCCTGTGGGATTTCCCCTTCAAAGTCCCGTTTGCCCTTGTTTTACAATTTCCTGTTTATAGATTCAAGCCGCGTGAAAAAAGTGTAATACTAAATAGAATAAAAAGTGTACATGCGTCAAAACAATCGCTGATTCGTAAGTTGATGAAAGGCGCAAAGTGTAGCGCGTCAATGGAGGGCTCAGGCACTATAGTGTATCGGGTTCTCCACAAATAACCACTCTGTGTGTGTTACTGAGGGAAAGTTATACCGCGTGTCAGGTGGTCGGTACAGGGTTGGTTAGCTGACTCGTGGGACAGGTCGACCGAACGGCCACTGAGCGACCATTGACGCCAGGACCTCTGAAAGTGTCGTCAGGTGGCACTAACGAGGTCGCGCGAGATTTGTTAACAATTCGCTTGTCGCAAACCCTAGGTCAAGGGGGCCCTCGCCTTGGTTCGCGACTTTTGGTCTGTCAATATATGCGACACTGAACCTGACTGGTAGGTGCGATTTTCACCGGTTTGGGAGAACGTGAAATATTGTCACAGCGTCAAACTCCCCTGACATCCGGGCAGTATGTTCTTCCACGTGTCAGATAGGGCTGTACCACATGCTTGACTCGCGGTCTAACCCGCCCTTACTGAGCTGCTCGAAACCGTCAAAATATCGAAACACGGGCAGTAATGCCACAATTTCCTTTGGGGATAACACCCGCCCCGTTCGAAACCGTCAAAATATTGAAACAATCATGAGAATACACATATACATAACGAAACAATATTTCTACGTGTTTTTATAAGCTTGCTTGGTTTACCCCGCCGACCAGCTAGAATCGTGATGACTTGCCATGTCGCATGGAGAAAGGCAACGTTCCGCGCGCCAGCACACCACAGAAGCTTTCGCCGACCGCCAGCGAGGCAAGACCGTGTTCAGGCGAATATCGTCAGACACGTCACCCTCTCCATCTGTACGAAACAGTGCGAAATAATTGAAGATTCCTTCGCGAGCTGACGATGTCCGGCTTGACAACTCCACAACCAAGGCACCATTCTCTGTGAAAGAAGTCGCAGCCAATCCCGTGCAGCCTGGAATGCCCACCTCAGCGAAGAAAATGCGTCACACACCAGCAGTGCCATGCACGTCTCCCTCCCTTCCCCCCACCTCCTCACTCGTCCAGTACCGCTTTGTAACGCATCGGACCACCCCGAAACTTTTGGGGTAATTTTTCAAGATAGGCAGTGCCGCACTACCTGAAAGGGAGTTCAGTCACAATCTAGAATGACAGAAAATACTTCTACGTAGTATCCACACCCCGTGTCATCTTGGAGGGATTGGCGACGCGAGAGCTGTGCAGAGAACGGCCACCGTCCATCACGCGCAACATCTACTTTCTTGCGGTCCTAATAAATATAAAAAAACCGCGACTTCCTCCGCGTGGACACTGGTGATTCCCCTCTCTTTTTGAAATCGATTCCTACTCATTCTAGCTCACTTATACTTATTATTTAAACGTCCATCATCCGCCATGCCTCGACGGAGCCATGGTAGCGGCGACTACGGCGGCGGCTCGCGCGGGCCGACGTCCCCGGGAATGGCGCCGGCGGTGGAGAGTCTCTTCGCCGCGGACTCGTGGGACGGCGGCGGCGGCAGCGGCGCTGCGCTGCACGCGTCGAACAGCAGCGGCGGCATGAGCGACGGGGGGTCGTCCGGCGCCGCGGCGAAACGATCCGTGCACGTCCCGAAACTGCGCAAGGGGAAGGTGAGACGGCGGCGCGCGGATGATGCATGCGCCAACAAGCTCCGCCGCGGTCAGCCGCCGCGGGCCCCGCCTCCCACGCCCTTCCCCCTCCCCGCTGTTTCTCCTCAACCCGGCCACTTCTTGTTCGATGCCTCAATCTCACATCGCAGATGCTTCCTGTTTCCTGTTTGCTGGCCAACCTAATTGTGCGGTCTGCGCGCTTGCGGTGCATTCCGCCGACCTAACTTCCGCAAAACTCCCATCCCCCCATCCCCCCCCCCCCCCCCCCCCCCCCCCCCCAATCCCCCCCTGTAATCACCTCGCTCTCTGTCACACCCGCGCAGGGCCCCTCCGCGGCGCTCCCCGTGTTCGGCTCCTGGAACGCGCCGCACGCCCCGGTGCCCAACTACAACAAGGGCGCGGCGGCGGAATCCGCGGCGGCGCAGGCGGCGGCGGCGGCGATTCGCGCGGCGACCGCGGACGCGGGCGGGCAGCCGAAATTCACGGAGGTGTTTCGGCAAAAGGGCGAGGACCGCGGGAACGGGCAGTGCGCGTGGCCCGAGTACGATGTGATTCTAGCAAAGCAGACGGCGATGCACGACAGGCTGCGCGCCGAGCAGATGCTGAGTCAGCAGCAGCAGCAGATGAGTCAGCAGCACCAGCAGATGAGTCAGCAAATGAGTCAGCAGCAGCAGCTGCAGATGGTGCTGCACCAGCAGCAGCAGCGGGCTTCGATGGGCGGAGGCACGGAAGGAGGCGCCATGATGACAAGCAAGGTACGCCATGATGATAAGCAAGGTACGCCATGATAACAAGCAAGGTGCGCCATGATGACAAGCAAGGTACGCCATGATGACAAGCAAGGTGCGCCATGATGACAAGCAAGGTACGCCATGATGACAAGCAAGGTGCGCCATGATGACAAGCAAGGTACGCCATGATGACAAGCAAGGTGCGCCATGATGACAAGCAAGGTGCGCCATGATGACAAGCAAGGTACGCCATGATGACAAGCAAGGTACGCCATGATGACAAGCAAGGTACGCCATGATGACAAGCAAGGTGCGCCATGATGACAAGCAAGGTACGCCATGATGACAAGCAAGGTACGCCATGATGACAAGCAAGGTACGCCATGATGACAAGCAAGGTGCGCCATGATGACAAGCAAGGTACGCCATGATGACAAGCAAGGTACGCCATGATGACAAGCAAGGTACGCCATGATGACAAGCAAGGTACGCCATGATGACAAGCAAGGTACGCCATGATGACAAGCAAGGTACGCCATGATGACAAGCAAGGTACGCCCATGATGACAAGCAAGGTACGCCATGATGACAAGCAAGGTACACCATGATGACAAGCAAGGTGCGCCATGATGACAAGCAAGGTACGCCATGATGACAAGCAAGGTACGCCATGATGACAAGCAAGGTACGCCATGATGACAAGCAAGGTGCGCCATGATGACAAGCAAGGTACGCCATGATGACAAGCAAGGTACGCCATGATGACAAGCAAGGTACGCCATGATGACAAGCAAGGTACGCCATGATGACAAGCAAGGTACGCCATGATGACAAGCAAGGTACGCCATGATGACAAGCAAGGTACGCCATGATGACAAGCAAGGTACGCCATGATGACAAGCAAGGTACGCCATGATGACAAGCAAGGTGCGCCATGATGACAAGCAAGGTACGCCATGATGACAAGCAAGGTACGCCATGATGACAAGCAAGGTACGCCATGAGGACAAGCAAGGTGCGCCATGATGACAAGCAAGGTACGCCATGATGACAAGCAAGGTACGCCATGATGACAAGCAAGGTGCGCCATGATGACAAGCAAGGTACGCCATGATGACAAGCAAGGTACGCCATGATGACAAGCAAGGTGCGCCATGATGACAAGCAAGGTACGCCATGATGACAAGCAAGGTACGCCATGATGACAAGCAAGGTACGCCATGATGACAAGCAAGGTACGCCATGATGACAAGCAAGGTGCGCCATGATGACAAGCAAGGTACGCCATGATGACAAGCAAGGTACGCCATGATGACAAGCAAGGTACGCCATGATGACAAGCAAGGTGCGCCATGATGACAAGCAAGGTACGCCATGATGACAAGCAAGGTACGCCATGATGACAAGCAAGGTACGCCATGATGACAAGCAAGGTGCGCCATGATGACAAGCAAGGTACGCCATGATGACAAGCAAGGTACGCCATGATGACAAGCAAGGTACGCCATGATGACAAGCAAGGTACGCCATGATGACAAGCAAGGTACGCCATGATGACAAGCAAGGTACGCCATGATGACAAGCAAGGTACGCCATGATGACAAGCAAGGTACGCCATGATGACAAGCAAGGTACGCCATGATGACAAGCAAGGTGCGCCATGATGACAAGCAAGGTGCGCCATGATGACAAGCAAGGTACGCCATGATGACAAGCAAGGTACGCCATGATGACAAGCAAGGTGCGCCATGATGACAAGCAAGGTACGCCATGATGACAAGCAAGGTACGCCATGATGACAAGCAAGGTACGCCATGATGACAAGCAAGGTACGCCATGATGACAAGCAAGGTACGCCATGATGACAAGCAAGGTACGCCATGATGACAAGCAAGGTACGCCATGATGACAAGCAAGGTACGCCATGATGACAAGCAAGGTGCGCCATGATGACAAGCAAGGTGCGCCATGATGACAAGCAAGGTACGCCATGATGACAAGCAAGGTACGCCATGATGACAAGCAAGGTGCGCCATGATGACAAGCAAGGTACGCCATGATGACAAGCAAGGTACGCCATGATGACAAGCAAGGTACGCCATGATGACAAGCAAGGTACGCCATGATGACAAGCAAGGTACGCCATGATGACAAGCAAGGTACGCCATGATGACAAGCAAGGTACGCCATGATGACAAGCAAGGTACGCCATGATGACAAGCAAGGTGCGCCATGATGACAAGCAAGGTACGCCATGATGACAAGCAAGGTACGCCATGATGACAAGCAAGGTGCGCCATGATGACAAGCAAGGTACGCCATGATGACAAGCAAGGTACGCCATGATGACAAGCAAGGTACGCCATGATGACAAGCAAGGTACGCCATGATGACAAGCAAGGTACGCCATGATGACAAGCAAGGTACGCCATGATGACAAGCAAGGTACGCCATGATGACAAGCCAAAGGTACGCCATGATGACAAGCAAGGTACACCATGATGACAAGCAAGGTGCGCCATGATGACAAGCAAGGTACGCCAGGATGACAAGCAAGGTACGCCATGATGACAAGCAAGGTACGCCATGATGACAAGCAAGGTGCGCCATGATGACAAGCAAGGTACGCCATGATGACAAGCAAGGTACGCCATGATGACAAGCAAGGTACGCCATGATGACAAGCAAGGTACGCCATGTTTGATGACAAGCAAGGTACGCCATGATGACAAGCAAGGTACGCCATGATGACAAGCAAGGTACGCCATGATGACAAGCAAGGTACGCCATGATGACAAGCAAGGTGCGCCATGATGACAAGCAAGGTACGCCATGATGACAAGCAAGGTACGCCATGATGACAAGCAAGGTACGCCATGAGACAAGCAAGGTGCGCCATGATGACAAGCAAGGTACGCCATGATGACAAGCAAGGTACGCCATGATGACAAGCAAGGTGCGCCATGATGACAAGCAAGGTACGCCATGATGACAAGCAAGGTACGCCATGATGACAAGCAAGGTGCGCCATGATGACAAGCAAGGTACGCCATGATGACAAGCAAGGTACGCCATGATGACAAGCAAGGTACGCCATGATGACAAGCAAGGTACGCCATGATGACAAGCAAGGTGCGCCATGATGACAAGCAAGGTACGCCATGATGACAAGCAAGGTACGCCATGATGACAAGCAAGGTACGCCATGATGACAAGCAAGGTGCGCCATGATGACAAGCAAGGTACGCCATGATGACAAGCAAGGTACGCCATGATGACAAGCAAGGTGCGCCATGATGACAAGCAAGGTACGCCATGATGACAAGCAAGGTACGCCATGATGACAAGCAAGGTGCGCCATGATGACAAGCAAGGTACGCCGTGATGACAAGCAAGGTACGCCATGATGACAAGCAAGGTACGCCATGATGACAAGCAAGGTGCGCCATGATGACAAGCAAGGTACGCCATGATGACAAGCAAGGTACGCCATGATGACAAGCAAGGTACGCCATGATGACAAGCAAGGTACGCCATGATGACAAGCAAGGTACGCCATGATGACAAGCAAGGTACGCCATGATGACAAGCAAGGTACGCCATGATGACAAGCAAGGTACGCCATGATGACAAGCAAGGTACGCCATGATGACAAGCAAGGTACGCCATGATGACAAGCAAGGTACGCCATGATGACAAGCAAGGTACGCCATGATGACAAGCAAGGTACGCCATGATGACAAGCAAGGTACGCCATGATGACAAGCAAGGTACGCCATGATGACAAGCAAGGTACGCCATGATGACAAGCAAGGTACGCCATGATGACAAGCAAGGTACGCCATGATGACAAGCAAGGTACGCCATGATGACAAGCAAGGTACGCCATGATGACAAGCAAGGTACGCCATGATGACAAGCAAGGTACGCCATGATGACAAGCAAGGTACGCCATGATGACAAGCAAGGTACGCCATGATGACAAGCAAGGTGCGCCATGATGACAAGCAAGGTACGCCATGATGACAAGCAAGGTACGCCATGATGACAAGCAAGGTGCGCCATGATGACAAGCAAGGTACGCCATGATGACAAGCAAGGTACGCCATGATGACAAGCAAGGTACGCCATGATGACAAGCAAGGTACGCCATGATGACAAGCAAGGTACGCCATGATGACAAGCAAGGTACGCCATGATGACAAGCAAGGTACGCCATGATGACAAGCAAGGTGCGCCATGATGACAAGCAAGGTACGCCATGATGACAAGCAAGGTACGCCATGATGACAAGCAAGGTACGCCATGATGACAAGCAAGGTGCGCCATGATGACAAGCAAGGTACGCCATGATGACAAGCAAGGTACGCCATGATGACAAGCAAGGTACGCCATGATGACAAGCAAGGTACGCCATGATGACAAGCAAGGTACGCCATGATGACAAGCAAGGTACGCCATGATGACAAGCAAGGTACGCCATGATGACAAGCAAGGTACGCCATGATGACAAGCAAGGTGCGCCATGATGACAAGCAAGGTGCGCCATGATGACAAGCAAGGTACGCCATGATGACAAGCAAGGTACGCCATGATGACAAGCAAGGTGCGCCATGATGACAAGCAAGGTACGCCATGATGACAAGCAAGGTACGCCATGATGACAAGCAAGGTACGCCATGATGACAAGCAAGGTACGCCATGATGACAAGCAAGGTACGCCATGATGACAAGCAAGGTACGCCATGATGACAAGCAAGGTACGCCATGATGACAAGCAAGGTACGCCATGATGACAAGCAAGGTGCGCCATGATGACAAGCAAGGTGCGCCATGATGACAAGCAAGGTACGCCATGATGACAAGCAAGGTACGCCATGATGACAAGCAAGGTGCGCCATGATGACAAGCAAGGTACGCCATGATGACAAGCAAGGTACGCCATGATGACAAGCAAGGTACGCCATGATGACAAGCAAGGTACGCCATGATGACAAGCAAGGTACGCCATGATGACAAGCAAG